TTAGCTACTTTAAAATACAGTAGTCCCTCGTTTATTGAGGGGGATCCATACAGTGTGTATACTTACTATAATAAACTGCTACTTACTACTTGTACTACTTTCCCTACTTTGTGGTTTTTCACTTATCGCAGGGCTTCAGGGTACGGATCCCCCTCAATAAACGAGGGACTACTGTATTTTAAAGTAGCTAAATTGAGGTGTATTTGTAAGTAAATCTATTCAAAAAGAAGATAAGGGGTTCTGTGGAAAGGATATGAGTAATTAAGGTCTTACTTATTGTGGATAGTTCTTTGATTGACCTCAGTTTTGGAGAACTGACTAGATTGATGAGCTAACGGCTAGTCTGAGCCAAGACCAACGTGGATCATTGTCATTTTTAGATCTACAACAGGTAAGATACTTTGTTCACAACTTTTCCACAGAACTTGACTTAAAAAGGTGGAAAAATAGAAGATGAGATATTCATTTTTTTATAGTTTAATTAATGTGAAAATAATAAATAGCTGCTTTGACTCATCTTTTTTGTCCTGGGGTTTGACATTTCTCTTTGCGCTGTCTCACACGGTGTGACAAAGTGCACGGCAGGATCAGTTGACCCCACGAGACGAGAAAAGCCTCGGAGCGCTGAAGGGAGTGTTAAATATCGCAGCGATCTGGGATTGAGGTCATGAGAAAAACAGAGGGATGAATGAGGAGAGGAGGAGGGATCGGGCTGAAAAGCCGAGGTCATTCACTTCAGAGATTGAACACCGCCCCTCCTAAAAGCGAGCCACCATTACCCCCTGACCGACCCCCGCAGAGCTCGGCAGGCGGATGTTTTCCCCTCGCAGGCCTGCAGCGAATGCACCAGGATTAAGGTGGAGCGGTGAAGATGGGAGAGGATACAGGGAAATGATCTGTGAGAGACGGTTATGGGCAGACTGACCCCCTCCTCATCAATCAGAGTTATTTATGAAGTAAAGACATTATGTGGCTTCTCAAATATAAGGTTTAGCCCATTAAAAAATCACTGAGTTGTGTCAAACTGCGTCAGCGGTCTCCAGGAAACTAAATTCCTCTCTCCCTCTGTGATTCTGCGTACAGTCATCTCCATCTCATCAACTTTTCGGTGGATTGCCATGAATTTTTGGTGCAGGCACTCCTACTCCCACCAGGATTCACCATCAGCATCATGTTAATTACCTAACATTTCATCTCCCCCTCATCAGAGCACAATTATAGCTGCTCAAACACTTTGATGAGTCCTGAACAAACGCAGCTCAGTTGGTGGCACCTCGGCGCTGTGAGGACAGTCGAGGACCCTCCTCTTGTTGAATTAGCTGCTTGATTAACTGATTGATTAACTATTTAGGGAGGAAATAAGCCCGACATGTTCCAGCCTCTTGGATTTGCTTGTCCCTGTTTTTAATGGATATTTGTAGCAGAAACAACTGCTGCGTTTTTATTAGATTTTAATTTAGCTCCATACTGTTTCAGACAAGAGTTTCATGTTTTATTAAGGCGTGACATAAGGTGGATCTGGTCACCAATGGCCAACGCGAGAGCTTTGTCTGCATCCTCGGCACAAAGCTGAGCTCCCTCCCAGTGCAGGTTGGTGAAGCTTCTCAGTCGTCCAGGACTTGGTAAAATCAAAAAAGTTCGAGACAAAAACAACTGGACTTTTATTTTGTAGCTGAAAACGTTTCGCTTCTCATCCGAGGGGCTTTCTCAGCTCAAAGAAAGACAGTGTGGAGTTTTGTTATAGAGCTGAGGTGTTCTGTATGCAGATTGCACCGACACCCTCACAATAGGAGTTCATTAGGGTCATTGTTAGTCTGAGTCACAGCCACTGTGGTTACATGAATGAAAATCCTGATAAGAGTGGAAATGACTGAGTATCAGGCCTAATGCTCCATTATAGGTTCTTGAAAGTTGAAATCTGAGACCTTCTCTGTTTAAAGTTGTTTTTTCTCTTTTTACATAGATGGTTTCTTTCATCCCGCTCTCAAACCGTCCGTCTTCTCGGTCCAAAATGTGAACATTTTGGTCCTCAAGAGAGTGTCCTTTATCCTTGAGGTGCAGGTTGTGTTTGCTCCTGTTTGTGGTGTGCATGGACATTGTCTCAAGTTGTAGTCAAATAGAGGAGGGTGGCTTGGTTTGGGACTTGTCTCTGCTTTTTGCAAATGATGTGGCTCTGTTGGCATCTGAGGTCTGAGGCCACGGTTCTCAACCAGAAAACGAGGGACTGCTCCCTCCAGGGCAAGTCTCTGCTTGAAGCGGAAGTGTTTAAGTAGCCTTGATCAGGAGCGATGATAGGATGGAGCAGGAAGTGGATTTCAGGGCCTTTTCTGCAGTAATGAGGGTGTTGCATTGGTCTGTTGTGATGATGAAGCCTAGCTGAAAGGCAAAAATCTCAAATTGCTGGTCCGTCTCTGTTCCAACCCCCACCTTTGGTCATGAGGTATGGATCATGACCAACAGACCTCAAATATAAGCAGCTGAAATGAGCTTCCTTCATGAGCTCCATCAGCTGCTGCTCCTCTGCTTTAAAAGGCTGAGGTGGTTTGAACACCTGATACCTCCTGGTCGCTTCCTTTCACTGGTTTCCAGGCACATTCCACTGTGAACCTGACTCCAGGGCAGACCCAGAACTCCTGTAGGGGTCTGGCCTGGGAACACCTTGGGACCCCCCAGGAGTGGCTGGAGTGGGAAGTCTGGGTTTCTCTTCTAAAACCTGTTGCTTCAATATCCTGACTGATGAGCAGCAGAAAATGGCTTTTTATTAAATAATTTTGGTAACTGCTGCTGTTTGCTTTTACAAACACTTGAAGTAATTTATGTAAATAACCATGTAATGCAAAAACATGTATTTATATTTAAACCTTATATCAAAAAATCTGTAATGCACAATAACTGCCTAGGTATTACCAAAATCTGCTGCTTTATGAACTCTGGTTCTTTTAAAACTTAATCTTTTTGGGCCAAGAAAACCTCCATCAAATCAAAGTTAAGTGAGGAAAAATAAAATGTTTTGTGACTTTAAAGTCTACATACAAAAAGAAAAAAAAACAAAAATATAAAAAATTAATACTTCTCTTTAGTCTCAGACGGAGGGAGGAAAAACCCTCTCAAGTTCACAAGTTAATTGCCGTGCCGTCCTTGGGTGCTTTGCAGTCTGAGCATCACTTCCATTCGACTCACAGAGACCAGCTAACCCCGTCTCTCTCCCCCTCAAAGCTTTGATGTTTCTCTGCCAGAATCCCAGCTTTAGATCAACTCATTAACTATGCTCCTCCAGAGAGTCACAGACTGACAGATGTTAGCCTGTCCAGCATAACGCAGCCTGCGCCTCCTCTCAGACAGCTGTGTGTGTGTGTGGATGTAATCTGCCGAAGTGGTTTCTCCTTTGAATAAAGTGATGAACAGCTCAGCCGTTCACGAGGAATAACTCTAATTTTTGTCATTTGCACCTCCTCCCACTGTCTCTCCAACAGGAACTGATGCGGTCCCCGTATATCGATGACGAAGGCTCGGCGAGGGATGACTTTTACGACGATGAGGACCTCTACTCAGGCTCCGGCTCTGGTGGTGAGTGTGTGTAGTTTTTGTATTGTGTGTGTGTGGGTGGTTACGCACTCACGCCCCGGCTCTTTCAAACCCGACAGCTGCTTGGTTTCAATCTGCTGACCCTAAAGCCTCCGCCCCGCCTCCCTCGGCTGCCTATCTTTTGAGGTGCGGCGGATACATTTGAGGCCACGCACATACAACCGCACACGCCGCATCAAGCTGCCGTTTGGCTCATCAGCCGAAAACACCTTAGACACCCTCGCAAACAGACACTAACCCTGGCTCGATTCCTTGAGATCTTCTTTTCTCTAATCAGATTACAGTCCACACAGATTAGACGATCGCACAAGCAGTTGTGTCCAACTATGCCAGCGCATGTCTTCCTCGGGAGTTTGCGTGTCTAGGAATTACCTACTTAACGTGAGTCACATCGGTGTAGCTCGGTCTGATTTTATGATCTGGCACTTAAAAGCTCGTCCACAGCTCGTTCTCATCAGGCTCGACCCGTTGCGGGCTGCACAAAATAAATTAGGATTCAGAGCAGGAGAGCGCAGCAGAGGCACCCCCCGTGGTTAAAACAGCAGCCGGGCAAATTGCTCCATCTGAAACCGTGATGTCGAATCGAACGTTTCCAAAGAATAGCTTCAAATTTTTAACAGACTTGTGTTTAACGTGCAGCACCGCTGCTTCGGCAGAGGCATTTTGCGGCGTCTGTTGCGTTAAACATAAGCCGCGTCGCAGGAGTCCATATTCCCATAGCCTCGCCTGCTCTTCATGTCTTTGTATCTGCAAATTCAATTTGCTTCTCTTTCAGCCCAAGTAGCTTCTCAGCTGTAGCAGAATGAAAGGCGGGGTAACGTTATTATGACACTCAGAGAGTTCATCTCCTCCTTTCTCTTGAAATGGACTTCATGCATAAACAGTCATGCACCACAAGTAGTAAAGACCCTGAGACCAAAAGTCACCACACAAACAACTAAGAATGAGCAACCAGCTTCCTGTAGTTATTTGTAAAAGATTTACTCTGACAACTTAACTCAAAATTTACTATGTCTGCTTCAATTTACAGTTTGTACACTCCTTGTTGTAAGACAGCCAAAAAATATAGATTACATTTCAGTTTTTGCTGTGATTTCTATGCTAAGTCATCGTTTAGGTCTAAGTAATGTGACAAGACAAATTCAGCCATGGATCTACTGTAATGACATCCATCCATTATCTTTTACCGCTTCTTCCATTTTGGGTCACAGGGGTCGCCGGTGCCCATGTCCAGTAATCACTGTGCGAAAGGCGGGGTACACCCTGGACAGGTCTCCAGTCCATCACAGGGACACACAGAGACAAACAAACATTCACTCTCTCACTCACCTAGGGACAATTTAGAGTTACCAATCAGACTAACGTGCATGTTTTTGGTCTGTGGGAGGAAACCGGAGTATTTGGAGAAAACCCACGCATGCACGGAGAGAACAAGCAAACTCCATGCAGAAAGGCCCCCGGACCAGGATTTGAACCAGGGACCTGCTCGCTGAGAGGCAGCAGCTCTACCAGTTGCGCCACGACGCTGCCGTACTGTAATGACAATCATCATATTTTTCAGACTATAAGTCGCTCCGGAGTATAAGTCACATTTATTTAGAAGTGTATTTCACAAAGTGCAAGAACAGACATTTACCCTGAAATAACAACACACAGAACTGGGAACACAACAGAACACAACACTGGGATCCTGAACAGGCTTAATTAACTCAACAAGTCTGACAAGCAAGTTACCGGTAAATTCACCGGTCTCGTTCCACAACACTTTTGGGGGCATTTTACTTGTGTTAAGTTTTTCTCTGTTGTCTCTAGTGAATGTTTGGGGGGAGGTTGTGTTAGACCAATGCTTCTCAATTATTTTCTGTTACACTCCCCCAGGAAGACTAAACATTTCTCCCCCCCCAACTCCCCACCGCAACTGTAAATAGTATCATTTGTCTATAAAATTGTTATAAATACATTTGCATAACATTGTGTCCTTATTACCATTAAATAATAAAATAATAATATAGATCAACTTACAACAAAGAATAACGTTGTTAACATTGTGTTTTATTCAGACAGAAACAACTGAAAGTGCATCAATTTGCCTGAAAAAAAACAACTTAAATCCTTATTTAAACTGTAAACATTTTGGACCATTTGATACTGAAAAATAAAATATAATCAATAAATAATAATAAATTCAAATTGATCAGCAACATTTTAACTCAGGAGTGTTATATAAAACACTTTGACCTAAAAAACAATAATGAATAAAACAATTTGTGCTAATTATTATTTTTTAATCAAAAATGAGGAAGTCAGGATCAATGAGCACATGCATCGATAAAACGAAAAAATGTTGTAAACGCGAAAGAGGGGGCAGATGTCGCTCTCGCTTTGAGTTTACTCTTTGTTGCATGCGTGCTGTGAGCGACGTCCAGAGCGCATGGACATAAAACACATGCAACGGAGGTGTCGGAGTTTATTTATCGTCTCAGCTGCAGAGGAAAGCGACATGGTTCAAGCATGGCTCCCAAAACAACAAGACAGTTATTTGTTCATAACTTTATTATTAGTAAGTCTGAGAGATATGAGCAAACAGCTGCTGGAATGCATGCAACAAAATGAGAATGGTGGAAAAAAAAAAGTACTTCATGTGACTAAAAAAGCATGTTCCCCGGTGCCACATGCACCCCCACCTGACATTGCCGGCGCCCCACTATTTGAGAAGGACTGCGTTAGAGGAACAACATATAGTTGTTAAAAGCCTAGAAGGCCCTCTCGCAGCTGCAAATGGTAAAGTTTACTCTTTGGTTCATGCCAGTATGAATGAACATTTAACGCGTCAGTCAAAAATTGCATCATGAATAGGAAAAAAAAAACTTATATAAGTTGCAGGACTGGCCAAACTATGAAAAAAAAGTGCGACTTATAGTCCGGAAAATACGGTAAATGAGCAACCACAGAATGTTTTGGGGTAAAATGGTTTAAATTACTAAAGGGAGACTCTTAGATCTATTTGCCAGCAACGAGGAGAGATAACGAATGGTTTGTTGAGGATCGTGCTTCTTAAATGATTATAATTTTAGTGAAAACACTCCTGTTGAGTTCTCCAGACTGATTCAAAGTTCTGATCACGAACATACAGAATATTCTTTAAGTGGTTTTATTAATAACTGCTTGGCTGTGATGTGTTTTACAAAGGGAGAAAAAAAAATTGCTTATATCAATTTATCCAATAAAGCTGAAAATGTTAAGTAAAGTTTATTTTTGGAGCATCTTTATCAGATAAAAATATTAAATTGTAAGAAATGTAAGAAAACTTTAATAAGATTATTATTTTACAGATCAGCTAATGTAATAGTCTCGTTTAACCCATTAATCTGAACATTTGTCTTTGTCTGTTAAACATTCTCCAAACAGGATTTTCTCGAGCTTAGACCCCCATTCCTTCCCCCTGACCAGACAAATTTACGAAGCCAACATTTTTTAGGTTTATCCACTCAGATCAGTCACGATGACCATCTGTTTTTGCCACGGAAAAAAAAAAACTTGGCTTTGTGTAAACTGAAGGACAAAATGAAGGAAAGCCTTTTAAAATATTGCCATTATCTCAGCGTTTACTTTTTGTTTTGGTCAGTTCTTCGCTGTAACCATTTAAATTACTGCAAAAAAATCTGAAAACAACAACTTTAGAGGTCGTGGTGCTCAGGAGAGATTTTTCGATTTCATTAAATATGGCCTTTGTAACTTTGCAGACTTTTTAGGCACAAAACCACAGGATTTCGTTTTGCCTTCCTGTGTTTTTAAAGCACGGCTTCTAAAAAGTACCTGAAACAGTTTCCATTCCTCACCTGCATCACCTTGTAATTTATGTTAATTTCATGACTGACTGTAATGTTGTTTTTTAATATCTAACTGACTGGTTGATCATTTCCCTCTCACTTCTTCCAGTTCCTGACATTGGTATTAGGCCGACGTCGGTGGGCGTGTCTTTCACCACAGAAGAGACCTTCCTCCTTTCGACCACGCAGGCAACAAGCCCCGCCCCTTCCGCCCCACCTGCAGCCGAGCCCAGCCCGAGCCCTGAGGACGCCACCATCACCCTGCTGCCCACCGAGGCCGACGGAGAGAGCGGCGCCTTCTTCGAGAAGGAGTTGGAACAGAGGCAACGGGAGCTGGAGGAGGAGATAAAGAGACAGAGGGAAATGGAGGAACAGAGGAAGAGGGAGCGGGAGAGGGTCCGAGAGCTGGAGCGAGAGCAGGAGAGGGAACGAGAAGAGAAGCAGAAGAAGGAGCAAGAGAGAGAACGGGAGAAAGAGCTGAAGAGGCGGCAAGAGCTGGAGCGGCTCTGGGCTGCTCAGACCACCTCTGCCCCGCGGTCGCCTGCCGTCTTCCCTGTGGTGACCACCAACCCGGCTACCAGTACAGCGGAGAGTACAGGACTCGCTGCTGGTTCAGACGACCTGAGTCCCACAGAGGAAGAGGAGGACGTGTACCTGTCACCTGACTCCACCATGTTTTACCCTGAATTTGATGTGGAGACCACCACAGAAGAAGACACGCCCACCACAGCAGAGACCACACCCGAACCCACAACAGCCGCACCCACCACCACAGCAGCCAGCAGGATCAAAACCAGGGTCCCCTTTAGGCCCAGGGTTACCATGACGACAGGCACTCGGGCGGTGCCGACGACGAGAACGACACGCCCACAGGCGCCCTCAACGACGCAGGTGGGACTCCAAACCATTCATGTCGGCGTAGAGCGCCGTTTTATTTACCACTGGTGTGGAAAGTTGACCAGTTTAACAAGTTATTTCGGAGTGGTTCAAAAGCAGGAGGAAAGGCGCAGAGAATGATCATGGAACCACAAAAAATAAAAATAAAGTTAGTTAATTAGATGTTTTTTCTTCAGCGTTGTGTTTTCAACCGAGTCAACTCAAAGACTCCAAGTTTATTCACCTCCATTCACAGATCAAACAAAATAACAATCCACGCTGAGTTCACGTGTGTATTCCACTGCAGAAGGTGGATCTTCAGGGCATCTCTACAGACACGTGAAGCCGTCCCCGTATATTTTTTCAGACACTGATCAGTAAATCCTCGACAGCGTCCAGCTCTCTAGGTCAATGGGGAACAGTGTCAGGAATAAAATGAAAACTAGATCTCAAAGGCAACAAAAATGTCTACTTTATTTAAATGGTACAAGCTTTTTTAAATTAAATTAACACTTGGACTTGGAACAGGTGTGATTGTATCCGCCATTTGGCTTAAAGAGCCTCATGTTCTGTACCAAACTTTAAAAGATCTATTTTTTTATGGGTTTTATCAACTTAAATTGTTTGTCATCATAAATCTAATCAAGCACATTTGTTACTTAAACCCTTAATTAAAAAGTTTATTTTATTTGAGAAGCTCGACGATCAACCTAAGGCACAGAATCCTTCCTAAATGTACAATCGCTGATTAATTTTGCCAATTAGCGTCAGTTAGATGCCACTTTTTGCGTTTCTGCTCATTGATAGTATCAATCATTTAAAAAAATAACTCAACAGGAAGGAAATGGACTGAAAACAGACAAATGTCTTTATTTATTTTTACAATCAACTGAAGAACAATAGTCGACATTCTTATACTTCCCTGTATAAGGCAATTTACCTATATTAATTCAAAACAAGAAGGTCTCTTATTAAATTATCAACAAATAACAGATATATTAGTGTGTTTTGACAACCAGAGAACTTCTACATTGTTCTGAACCTTTTTCTACCGCGTGTAACGAACCAGGTATAGTTAGTGTTTCCACACATTTGCTGCTTTCAGGAATCCCTACAGAAGCACCATGTTCGTGTGGGACTGAGGAAACAAAGTTCAGCGCTCACGATTATGGTGATAAATGAACGTGAGGCTCATTTACGAGTGTCCAAGATGAATGATGTGTATCAGGTTTTCGGTGCAGCCAGTATCTGTTCATGCGATCACTTCAGTGGGTTTGACGATGATGAGGAGGATAATGGCAACCTTTAAATCTTGTCCTTACCGATCTGTCGTAGTGGATCTCTCCCTAAATAAGACACGAACAGTCAACATTGGAGAACAAGTCATTAAGTGAAAGCAGCTTTTATTAATTCTGCACCACCTTAGATGATTCTGAGCAACTTTTTCCTCCTGGTTGTCATTTTGATGCTGACGGTTTGTTTATTTGCCGACCCCGGTTGTTCCTCTGGTTGGCGCCTTCCTGTTTATTTGCATCTGTGCTCCATTCGAGCGCGATGCGTTTCAACTTGACTGTTTTCCCACATTGTAATCAAGCTGCCAGATTTTATGAAGTGTGTATATTTGTGTGACGTTAAGCCACTTCTCCACCGGTCTCAACGTACAGAGGCTCATTGTTCGAAAGCCAAACGTATGCCGTGGAAAAACTCTGGCGCGCGCAGCTCTGCGGAACGAATTCAACTGCGCCACTCAAGTCTCACTTTTCCTTCTCCCCTTCCAGGAAGCTGCCAACGAAGTGGGTCCTGTGGGACCGAGCGGAGATTTCGAGATCCCTGAAGATCGGCGCAACGGCCTGGGCGTGGTGCCGATGGACCCCGATTTGATCGGCAACACGGTGGACGGAGGCAGCTCTGCCGCCCAGCTGCCGCAGAAAAACATCCTGGAGAGAAAAGAGGTCTTGATAGGTGAGGGAAAGTTTGTGTCTGGCTTTTGTTTCTGAACTCACCTTCCTGTCATTCTGAACCACTCGGCTTTAGACCGAACAGAACTTTGCCCCCTTGTTGCCTCCTGTTTTCGTTTCCTCAGGGGGTCTTACCCTTCGTTCATAGTCCTGGTTGATTACCGAGCTGCTTAGCCCCGTCCGACCCGTTGAGAACAACCAATCTCCCCAACTCCAGCTTTCCCCCTCCTCTTTTTCTCACCCTTCTCCCTTTCGGGCAAATCCAATTTCTTTTCAAGTGCGCCCTTCTTCTCAGCCCAAAGAGTTGTTGTGGGGGGAGCAGAACTGACGGGCTCTCTGTCTTTCCTTCAGCTGTTCTGATTGGTGGACTGCTGGCCGTGGTTTTTGCTGATTTCCTCGTCATCGGTAAAAAGCAGGAGGCAACAGATTGTAGTCTAGACTGTGTGTTAGAGCCAAACGTGTCGAGTAGTGCTGAGCACTCGTAGTTTATAGCTCCTTTCTCACACCGCCCATTCAGAGCAGGACTGATGAGCCTTTGTCCCACGTCTCTGTCCTGGTTTAAGTTATGGGCTAGAAGTTGATGGGCCTCTTTTTTGTGCCTGTTTAGTGCAGCATTTGTGTGAAAAGGGTCTCCTGCGGTCTAAATTTTTGTTTAGGTGCATTTTTTTTAAAATCTGCGACTCCCATTTGGCTTTTCTTTTACCCACTGATTTCTTTGCCATATTATTATTTTGTGGTCAAGTCATTAGAGTCGAGTGCTGTGCTGTGGCTTTGAGCGGTTTTAATGAGCCGTTATGAGAAAAGGTTTGGACACTAAAATATAAAGAGAAACAGAATATACATAACAATTTTTTAGGTTTTTAGAAACCGAATGGGTAAAAAAAAAAAAAAAGTAAAATCACAAAGAATCCGAGTTTATTTGACACAATATTTAATGTAGGAAGCATTAAAACTTTTAGAGAGTCAGAAAAATTGCACCAAAGTCGAGGCTAAAATCCAGAACTTATGAAACGCACGTAGAAGAGCGCTACAGAAGTTCATTTTAGATTCCCTGAGACAAAGTGGGTAAATGCTACATGTTCTGACAATTAAAACATTTAGTTTGTTGGCGGTCAAAGTTTGGAGTTAGATTCTCACACTTCAAGTAATTCTTATCCTGGACCTTTATTTATACATCATATATTTCTCAGTGAACACATCACTTAACTTAGCAATAAAATATTACACACACACACACTCTGAGCAGATGAGGATCATGAAGCCTAAATCAGACAAGAATACATAATATCAAACTTTATGTAAGTTACAATCATTGTGGGAGTGGTGAAGCATAGGTTAGAGAAGGTGGGCCTGTGAACGGAAGATCACTGGTTTAACTCCCGGTACCGACAACATCAAAATGTGGGTGGGATTAGTGAAGCACTCACACCTGTCTCCACCCTCATTTGCCCCACACTGGGCCCTTAACATCCACCATCTGCTCCCCGAATGCCCTAGGTAGCAGCTCTCTGCTCCACACAGAGGACTGTGGTAGCTCAGTGGTCTGTGGTTGTGACAGGGAAGGACGTTCGGTGTAAAAATAATTGACAAGTCTTCACGCGACTTAGTTCATTGTGGCGACCCCTGAAGAAGGGAGCAGCTGAAAGAAGAAGGGGGAAAGAAAAAGAAAAAAATATGTTACAATCATGTAACCGCCTGCGTCTATTCATTTGGCTGTTTGTTAGCAAAATATTTTATGGACCATTGAACAGATTTTAATGAAGCTCTCAAAGTACGACGGAGCTTTAAAAATATATAATAACTATATATATATATATATATATATATATATATATATATAT